TTCTCTAATAATTAGTGATATTGAGCCACTTTTCATGTGCTTCTAGGCCATCTGTATGTCTACTTTGGAGAAATGTCTATTTAGGTGTTCCACCCATTTTTGGATTCAGTTGTTTGTTTCTGTAACATTGAGTTGCATGAGCTGTTTATATATTTTGGAGATTAATCCTTTGTCCACTGATTCGTTTGCAAATATTTTCTCCCATTCTGAGGGTTGTCTTTTTGTCTTGTTTATGGTTTTCTTTGCTGTGCAAAAGCTTAGAAGTTTCATTAGGTCCCATTTATTTTGGTTTTATTTCCATACTCTAGGAGGTGGATCAAAAAAGATCTTGCTGTGATTTATGTCAAAGAGTATTCTTCCTATGTTTTTCCCTAAGAGTTTTATAGTGTCTGGTCTTACATCTAGGTCTCTAATCCATTTTGAGTTTATTTTTGTGTGTGGTGTTAGGGAGTGTTCTACTTTCATTCTTTTACATGTAGCTGTCCAGTTTTCCCAGCACCACTTATGGAAGAGACTGCCTTTTCTCCATTGTATATCCTTGCCTACTTTGTCATAGATTAGTTGACCATAGGTGCATGGTTTTATCTCTGGGCTTTCTGTTCCATTGATCTATTTTTCTGTTTTTGTGCCAGTACCATATTGTCTTGATCACTGTAGCTTTGTACTATAGTCTGAAGTCAGGGAGTCTGATTCTTCCAGCTCCGTTTTTTTCCCTCAAGACTGCTTTGGATATTTGGGGTCTTTTGTGTCTCCATACAAATTTTAAGATTTTTTTGTTCTAGTTCTGTAAAAAATGCCATTGGTAGTTTGATAGGGATTGCATTGAATCTGTAGATTGCTTTGGGTAGTATAGTCATTTTCACAAACTTGATTCTTCCAATCCAAGAACGTGGTATATCTCTCCATCTGTTGGTATCATCTTCAGTTTCTTTCGTCAGTGTCTGATAGTTTTCTGCATACAGGTCTTTTGTCTCCTTAGATAGGTTTATTCCTAGGTGTTTTATTCTTTTTGTTGCAGTGGTAAATGGGAGTGTTTCCTTAATTTCTTTTTCAGATTCTTCATCATTAGTCTATAGGAATAGAAGAGATTTCTGTGCATTAATTTTGTGTCCTGCAACTTTACTGAATTCATGTTTATCTCTAGTAATTTTCTGGTGGCATCTTTAGGATTATGTATAGTAGCATGTCACCTGTGAACAGTGACAGTTTTACTTCTTCGCTTCTGATTTGTATGCCTTTTATTTCTTTCTCTTCTCTGATTGCTGTGGCTAGGACTTCCAAAACTATTTTGAATAACAGTGGGGAGCGGGGACATCCTTGTCTTCTTCCTGATTTTAGAGGAAATGCTTTCAGTTTTTCACCATTGAGAATGAAGTTTGCTGTGGGTTTGTCACATATGGCCCCTATTATGTTGAGGTAGGTTCCCTCTATGCCCACTTTCTGGAGAGCTTTTATCATAAATTGGTGTTGAATTTTCTCAAAAGCTTTTTCTGCATCTATTGAGATGATCATATGGTTTTTCTTCTTCAATTAGTTAATATGGTGTATCACATTGATTGATTTGCATATATTGAAGAATCGTTGCATACCTGGGATAAATCCTACTTGATCACGGTGTATGATCCTTTTAATGTGTTGTTGGCTTCTGTTTGATAGTATTTTGTTGAGGATTTTTGCATCTAATTTCATCAGTGATATTGGTCTGTAATTTTCTTTTTTGTAGTATCTTTGTCTGTTTTTGGTATCAGGGTGACGGTGGATACCAATGAGTTTGGTATAGTTTGGTATAGAATGAGTTTGGGAGTGTTCTTCCTCTGCAATTTTTTGGAAGAGTTTGAGAAGGATGGGTGTTAGCTCTTCTTTAAATATTTGATAGAATTCACCTGTGAAGCCATCTGTCCTGGACTTTTGTTTGTTGGAAGATTTTTAATCACAGTTTCAATTTCATTACTTGTGATTGGTCTGTTCATATTTTCTATTTCTTCCTGGTTCAGTCTTGGAAGGTTATACCTTTCTAAGAATTTGTCCATTTCTTCCAGGTTATCCATTTTATTGGCATAGAGTTGCTTGTAGTAGTCTCTTTGGATGGTTTGTATTTCTGCGGTCTCTTTTGTAACTTCTCCTTTTTCATTTCTAATTTTATTGATTTGAGTCCTCTCCCTCTTTTTCTTGGTGTGACTGGCTAATGGTTTATCAATTTTGTTTATCTTCTCAAAGAACCTGCTTTTAGTTTTATTGATCTTTGCTATTGTTTTCTTTGTTTCTATTTCATTTATTTCTGCTCTGATCTTTATGATCTCTTTCCTTCTGCTAACTTTGGGTTTTGTTTGTTCTTATTTCTCTAGTTCCTTTAGGTGTAAGGTTGGATTGTTTTTTTGAGATGTTTCTTGTTTCCTGAGGTAGGCCTGTATAGCTATAAACTTCCTTCTTAGAACTGCTTTTGCTACATCCCATAGGTTTTGGATCGTCATGTTTTCATTGTCATTTTTTTCTAGTTATTTTTTGATTTCCTCTTTGATTTCTTCAGTGATCTCTTGGTTATTGAGTAACATATTGTTTAGCCTCCATGTGTTTGTGTTTTTTACGTTTTTTCCTCTGTAATTCATTTCCAATCTCATAGCACTGTGGTCAGAAAAGAAGCTTGATATGATTTCAATTTTCTTAAATTTACTGAGGCTTGATTTTTGACCCAAGATGTGATCTATCCTGGAGAATGTTCCGTGCCCACTTAAGAAAGTGTCATCTGCTGTTTCTGGATGGAATGTCCTATAAATATCAATTAAATCTATCTTGTCTACTGTGTCACTTAAAGCTTCTGTTTTCTTATTTCATTTTGGATGATCTGTCCATTGGTGTAAGTGAGGTGTTAAAGTCCCCCAATATTATTGTGTTACTCTCGATTCCCTCTTTTATAGCTGTTAGCACTTGCCTTATCTATTGGGGTGCTCCTATATCTGGTGCATATATACTTATAATTGTTATATCTTCTTCTTGGATCGATCCCTTGATCATTATGCAGTGTCCTTGTCTCTTGTAACATTCTTTATTTTAAAGTCTATTTTATCTAGTATGAGCATTGCTACTCCAGCTTTCTTTTGATTTCCATTTGCATGGAGTATCTTTTTCCATCCCCTCACTTTCAGTCTGTATGTGTCCCTAGGTCTGAAGTGGGTCTCTTGTAGACGGAATATATATGGGTCTTGTTTTTGTATCCATTCAGCAAGACTGTGTCTTTTGGTTGGAGCATTTAATCCATTCACGTTTAAGGTAATTATTGACATGTATGCTCCTATGACCATTTTCTTAATTGTTTTGGGTTTGTTTTTTTAGGGCCTTTTCTCTTCTATTTCCCACTTAGAGAAGTTCTTTTAGCATTTGTTGTAGAGCTGGTTTGGTGGTGCTGAATTCTCTTAGCTTTTGCTTGTCTGTAGAGCTTTTGATTTCCCCATCGAATGTGAATGAGATCCTTGCTGGGTAGAGTAATCTTGGTTGTAGGTTCTTCCCTTTTATCACTTTAAGTATATCATGCCACTCCCTTCTGGCTTGTAGAGTTTCTGCTGAGAAATCAGCTGTTAACCTTATGGGAGTTCCCTTGTATGTTATTTGTCGTTTTTCCTTGCTGCTTTCAATAATTTTTCTTTGTCCTTAATTTTTGCCAATTTGATTACTATGTGTCTCGGCCTGTTTCTCCTTGGGTTTATCCTGTATGGGACTCCCTGCACTTCCTGGACTTGGGTGGCTATTTCCTTTCACATGTTAGGGAAGTTTTCGATTATAATCTCTTCAAAGATTTTCTCTGGTCCTTTCTCTCTCTATGCTCCTTCTTGTCTGGGACCCCTATAATGTGAATGTTGTTGCTTTTAATGTTGTCCCATAGGTCTCTTAGGCTGTCTTCATTTCTTTTCTTTCTTTTCTCTTTATTCTGTTCCACAGCAGTGAATTCCACCATTCTCTCTTCCAGGTCACTTATCCGTTCTTCTGCCTCAGTTATTCTGCTATTGATTCCTTCTAGTCTAGTTTTCATTTCAGTCATTGTATTTTTCATCTGTTTGTTTGTTCTTTAATTCTTCTAGGTCTTTGTTAAACATTTCTTGCATCTTCTCGAATTTTGCCTCCATTCTTTTTCTGAGGTCCTGGATCATCTTCACTATCATTATTCTGAATTCTTTTTCTGGAAGGTTGTCTATCTTCACTTCATTTAGTTGTTTTTCTGGGGTTTTTATCTGGTTCCTTCGTCTGGTACGTAGCCCTCTGCCTTTTCATCTTGTCTTTCTCTGAATGTGGTTTTTGTTCCACAGGCTGCAGGACCGTAGTTCTTGTTTCTGCTGTCTGCCCTCTGGTGGATGAGGCTATGTAAGAGGGTGGGCCTGGGTTCCCTTCCTGTTGGCTGTTTGGCCTGAGGCAACCCAATACTGGAGCCTACCTGGGCTCTTTGGTGGGGCTGATGGCAGACTCTGGGAGGGCTCATGCCAAGGAGTACTTTCCAGAATTTCTGCTGTCAGTGTCCTTGTCCCCACTGTGAGTCACAGCCACCCCCTGCCTCTCTAGGAGACCCTCCAACACTAGCAGGTAGGTCTGGTTCAGTCTCCCCTGGGGTCACTGCTCCTTCCCCTGGGTCCCGATGCACACACTACTTTGTGTGTGCCTTCCAAGAGTGGAGTCTCTGTTTCCCCCAGTCCTGTCAAAGTCCTGCAATCAAATCCCACTAGCCTTCAAAGTCTGATTCTCTAGGAATTCCTCCTCCCATTGCTGGACCCCCATGTTTGGAAGCCTGACGTGGGGCTCAGAACCTTCACTCCAGTGGGTGGACTTCTGTGGTGTAAGTGTTCTCCAGTCTGTGCGTCACACACCCAGCAGTTATGGGATTTGATTTTACTGTGATGTGCCCCTCCTACCGTCTCACTGTGGCTTCTCCTTTGTCTTTGGATGTGGGGTATCTTTTTTGGCAAGTTCTAGTGTCTTCCTGTCGATGATTGTCCAGCAGCTAGCTGTGATTCTGGTGTTCTCAGAAGGGGGAGTGACAGCACGTCCTTCTACTCTGCCATCTTGGTCAGTTCTGTATTAAATTCTTTCTACTGAATTTCTTGGCATTAGTTCTGTTTCCTGACTGGACACTAACTGATTCATTATTTTTTTGTCCTAAAATCTCTGATATTAGAATGGATCTTGTTATTTTTTTGATGCGATAGCAAAACTGACTTATTTACAATTGCCTGTGTATGTGCATCAAATTTTGCAGAATGAGTGTCAGTAGCTTAAAGGAAAATCTCAGAGAAGATAATAGAAAAGTTTTAAGAAACACTGCATAATCTATACTTTTGAAGTTGCAACAGATATAATGTGGAAAAACATGTATATTGACCACTCTGAGACAAAAAAAATAAAAGATACAATTTCATGTAAGACAGTTTAGGAGTATCTTAACCAATTTGTTTTGCTCATATTTTCTTTTTTCTGCATGTACAAGTGTGATATATGATTAAAGTACTTGCTAAAATGTCTAAATAAGCCCTTTCAATACATAAAAATAAACACAATATGTCATAGGCAAGCATTTTATCATAGTTTTAATTGGCAGTGTATATCTTTTTCTTTCTTAATGGATCATAACATAATGGAGCATCCTACAATTGATGGTACCTTAGATTGGATGAAATATAACATATGTACAGACCAAGCACTAGGAAGATTATTTCCAAGTTCAATATAGGGATTTGTATGACTTTTTAGTTCCTTTATAACTTTACTTCCTTAATTCTTTCTGATTAAATTATTGTAATGTTAAAGTACTGTTAAAGTAATTTTTACAATAAGAAAAATCTATTTTTTTAAAAAAGGATATATATTAAGCCAAAATGTGTACTGAAGGTATATTCTGGACTTCTTTCTTACATGGCAGAGTCTGCATTCAAATCTAGTTTGCTAATGTTTCTTTTCTATCACTCTTTTGGGTTAATCGACACTGTACACCTTAAATCAACCAGTGCTTCCTTTTCTCATAAAAGGACTGACAATTATTGACATTTCCTTTTTGTGGTTAAAATGCTTTTTAAATGATCTTAGTTAATAGGTAGGCTATATTTAAATTTGAATATTTTCTAATAAATTGATCTTGGCCAAAGGACAGGCCCAAAATCTTGCGTGTTCAGCTGAATATCTTAAGAAGCAAGATCATGATAGGCATTCAGGGGAACACATTCTTGGCCAATATACTCTGGATTAGAAGTGAGGATCACAGTTACAGGTTGAGGTCTCTTTAATAATATCCCTATTTGTCAGGATGAAGAGAAGGAGATAACACAGGAAGGGGAACATGTATAGTAATTATAAAAATTTCAGACACTGAAGTAATTTACATATATTTACTCATTTTATCTCTCCAACAATCCAGTACTATTATTATCTTCAACTTATACATATAGACTAGTGCAAGAAGAATTACTCGAAGAATGATAATAAATATGCATAATTGCAGAATGTAGACCTTTACAATTTTTATAGAGATATTCCCTAACTTTAGTGCCTGCCATGTGTGCCAGACACCATGAACTAAATAAATAAGACAACTAAAACTCTGAAAACAAGAAGAGAACCTTTTCTTTTAAATCTCCTGGATCATGGTTACTGAAAGGGTGTGGCTCCACTCAATCAGTGACATTCATAAAGTGAAAGAATTTTTGACATCACTTATTTTTTAAAAAAATCATTTCACAAATGAAAAGGTGTGTCCTAGTGTAGACGGAAAGAGCCTACACTATCTATTGCTGCAAAATTTAGTGGCTTAAGACAAAAAACTTATTATGTCATAGTTTCTGAGGGTCAGGAATCCTTAGCCATGTGTTTTTGGCTCAGAGTCTCTCTCGAGGTTGCAGTCAAGCTGTTGGCTGGCTGGTCTGCATCTCTATGGATTCATGGGGCCTGGAGAATCTCTTTCCAAGCTCACTCACATGGTTATTAGTATATTAGTAAAAGGTTTCAGTTCCTCACCATGAGGGACTCTCCATAAGTCTTCCCCCAAATCAGGCGATAAGATAGAGACAGAAAAGGGGAGAGAAAGAGAGAGAGAGAGAGGGAGGGAGGGAAGCGGGGGCAGGGGGGGAGAGGGAGGGAGAGAGAGAGAGAGAGAGAGAGAGAATCCAAATCGGAAGCTGTCTTATAACTTAAGCTCAGAAGTGATATCCCATTGCTTCTGCCATATCTGATTCATCAAATAACCTAACCCTAGTCATTTAACAGAAAGGGGTTGGATATCAGGAGGCATCAGGGGCAATTTTTAAGGCTGGTTACCACAGAGCTCTTGACTTGGAATCCAAAGACTTGAGTTAATAAAGTCATCTGGGTAGTAGAGGAAGATGAAAACCCACTCTTTCGTTATTCTTCCCAGAAGCTCCATGATTAGAAAAGATGCCCCTTGCCTTTTGATTTTAGAGGCACTGAATATCCTCCTGATTTTGTCTCATCCATGGGAGACATAAAGCAATAGTGTATTCGAGCACTGAAGTGATGTACTGAATGCCCCCGTAAAATCCTGAATTCCCTTGCTTTGGTGTATTCTCCAGTTAAAGCAATGGATTTACTAGAAAAGCTTACTGTTAATCAGAAGCTGAGGCAGTTTTCTTAACAGGAGAAGCTGAACAGAGTAGCAAAGCAATTGTACTTACACCTTTGAAGTACCACATTCTCCATTCTTGTCAAAGTTCCCATTTATCCTCCTAGGATCCATGAAATAGTTTAGCTTTTCAAGGACTCATGAATTCCTCTTTGATGTTTTCCTGAGAAGTTTTCTACATGCTTCAAGACAGAACATTGAATTAAGTTAGCCTCAAGGCCAACCTACACACTATTCACATGCTGCTCTTTAGTCAATCTGAATTAAGCTACTAGGAGTGATATGTCTAGGATGACAATCAGGTGTGTGGCTTACTATTATATAGAGAGAGGGTTTTGCATAGTGTAGACCTTATTTTAAGTTTGCTTCTTTAAACATGATTTTTTAATAAGACATACATTTTCTCAATGTATTACCAGGTACAATCACTATATACAGTTTTAGAATAGGATCACAATCAGGGAGAATTACAGCAAGCAAGAAGTATTTTTGTGCTAAGCTTTACTGCTCAGAGTGACTACTTACATGGCATAAATGCAGTTCAAACATCAGCCAGTTTCTTTATTCATTTTAAGAGATAGGCTCTTTTTTTATCTTACTGATTTTTCCCTGCTCATTATGGATCACTTCATCTTCCTTTGATTTGTTTCTCTTACTGACCTGGCACTTTGTGTAGGTGCTTCAATTCTCACTAATGGCAATTGCTGGCTATTGACCCAATATGACAGGACCACTGAATCGAAAATTGTTACATCATTATAGCTCAATATTGGTAAATGTAGTTTTATACCATCCAAATTAGCTCTGCTGTTTGCAGTACGGACCAGCGAGGACAAAATCATAATAAAAATGTCCAACAATACAATCACAGTTTAGATCTCTCCTAATACTATATGGTACAATAATTTTGCTTATCTAGAATTAAGTGAAGCTTCCACAAACATCACTGTACTTAATGAATATCTATTATCTATGTTTATTCACTGGGATTTTTATTGTACTTGGTAAAAGAACCACAAAAATAAAATTAATCCTGTATCGTAACTATTGGCCGCTGAATAAACAAACCAAGGAAAACACTGATTTTTGTCTATGTTTTTTCTTTTTTAGATGTTGCATTTGACAAAACCAATGTTCTCAAGGACAGCAATTGTTATTTAGCCCACTCTGTCAGTATTGAGCAGCAGAAAACAGATAATTACATTGACTGTTCTCTAACATGTTTCTGTGACCTACAGGAGTTACTGATTCCTTTTTTCCCAAAGGTTGCATTTGAATTATAACATATTCTACAGAATATGTGCCTGTAGCAGAAAATAAAAATATAACCTTTGTGAAATGTGCATGCTTTTGAAACATGGATAGTCAGATATAGGATGGGTGAGGCATAAGAAATGATAAGAAAGCAGCAGCTAAAACAAAATCTAAAAATCCAAGAGTATTCTATGGTTTTTGTTCACAATTATGAGAGCCTCAGAAAGATGTATACATCTTATAACAGGACACACTAGTAGGAACTACAGGAAATATAAGATGCAAAACCATGTGTTAAGATTTTATTCAAATTATCGGTTACAAACCTTTTTCTTTCTTGGCTTGAGCGTATAACTACATAATCATTTATATGAATGAGGTAAATCAACACTTTCTTATTGACTTCCTTTCTCATTCTCCTCAGGTTTTTACTATACCTTTACTACTCTCCTTGAATCCCTAACCTGCCTCTTGACTGTCACCCTCACCTTGGCCTTCAAACATGGTCAGTCCTTTCCACTCAGAAAATGGAGGAAATAATTCGTGTTTTTCAGTTTCCATTCTTCCTCCTCTTCTGATATAGACTCTCAAGAGCAATCTCTACCCACTTTTTTCATGCTTATGCCTTCCAGTGTCTTGAATCCACTGCACTGCTATTTCTTTTCCTCTAGCACTCCAGAGAAAGTCTATGAAATTGACCTCTGGATGATCAAATAGACTTTATTTTTCACCTACCTTGTTTTCTTTGTCATATCTGTTTTATTGGACATTCTCTCTTCTTTTAGCTTAACTGCCAGTACTATTTTGATTTTCCTTCTTATCACTATTATTTACCTGGCTGGTTTAGCATTAGTTTTTCATCTGCTCCCTTCCCCAGAGATGAACAATATCTTTGTTCCTGTTATGGTCTTTCTACAGTCCCTTCCATGATAGCAACTACAAAAGTTATTTCTCCAATATTAAACTTTCTCCTGAGTGCAAAGTTCATTTTAATTCACCTACCAAATTCTGAACATCTATATAGTTCTCCAATAGAAAATTCAAGTATATTATTAACAAAAATAGTAACAGTAATAATAGTAATAATAATATTATGATAGAAATAGTAATCCATTTCACATATGTTAGCTGTTTTAATCTCCATAAAAACCCCTTGAGAGGAATTACTCTACATGTTTTACCATGAACAAAACTAACAATCAGGTTAAGTAACATGCACAATGTCAAAAAAAAAAAAAACAGTAAAGGTAAGTACAGTGATTATAATTCAAGTCTATCTAACTGCTAAATTCCACTGCTTCCGCAAACAAATTTTATATACAATGAAACCTGTCTTTCCACTTTGTTTAAAACTCAGGTAATGACTTCAGCATCCACCAATCACTCATACTTGAAATCTAAGAGACTGCTCTGACCACTCCATCTCTAACAATACCCACGTTCAACTTGTTTACGGTTTTTGATAAATGGGTACCAAAACTGTGTTTAAATAAACTCCCTGCTTCCATTTTCTCTTCTAGTACCACTTGCTCAACACTTTCTAACCTCAGCTCTCTCTAAATCATCTTTTACTCACTTCCTGAATTATCATTCGTTAACATAAACCTTTTCATATTAGTTCCTTGAACAAAATCTTTAAATTATTTTAACTGCAGACCGGATAAAGCCCATACTCCCAATCCTCTCATTCACGTATCTATTATTATTTCTAGTTGTACCCCTTGCCACTCAGTTCCATGCCTTTTTGGCTTTGCATTCACTCCATCATTGTTTGGTATGTGAATATGCCAGTCACTTTCACACCTTCCCTTATTCTTTTGCTCATGTTCTTCCTTCTGTCCTTATTTTCTTTCCTGACTAGAAATCCAGCTCATCACTATTCATCACTGATACGTTTGGATTTGAATAGGTCAGTTACGTGCCTATCTCCCAAAATAAACTGACGGGTTTTTGAGGGCATGAGTAAGGTATTCATTTTCACAACTCTCCTCTTCTTCCCCTGTAGACCCTGTCATCTAGAACTTCTTGCACATGAAAGCTCAGACTGAAATCATTGTTTCACGGCTACAGTGGGATAATAAGAGAAATTTTCAACATTCATATATGAAGTTTTGAGATCCTGGGAAGACTATAAAAGTGAGAATAATCGTAATAACTACCTTTTTAATAAATTACACAATAAATTGTGTATGTGACAATGACATACACAAAAATCCCACCATTGTACCATACAGTAACATTTCAGAACACATATAACGTGAAATTGATCTTAAAAATTTTTAGATATAGAAAAACAGATTATACACAAAGGATGGGAGATCAGAAATGCATCACACTTCTCAAAATCTATAGCTATTTATGTTTTCTAAAAATTAAGGACACCACAAGGAAAATACAAATTTGACACAAAAACATTCAAATCATGAAAGGGAAAAATGAAAAGATGTTTTATTTTAGCAAAATTAATAAAAGACAAGAACCCATAAGAAAGCTTAATAAACATGAAATGTAAAATCAACTAGGATAAATAATACAAATAAAAGATTATTAAAATAAGTGTAAATAAGATTTTTAAACTTTTATATATTATTAAAGAAAAAGAGGAAAGTATCAATAAACCTATGTAAATGTAATTTATACTAGAAAAACAAAAAATGAGCAAATAAATAAATACATAGGCAAAAATATAACAGATAAATGTAAACAAAAAATATTGTAAGATGGCAGTTTTATATTAGATGACACAGTACTCAAGAAAAAAATTTTATTTTGCAGTAATGGAACAAATGTGAAGCTTTCAAAATGGGAAAAGCTACAATATTATAAACATTTACAAACATAAATTCTTTTAATATAGCAGCAAAATATACAAAGCAAAAGTATTAGAAACAATGACTGTTTGTCACCCTTCCTCCCTCCATCCAAAAAGAATTCATGTTAGGAGACAATAACTTATTTACCTCAGAATTCAATAGGCTGAGGAGACAAATGATACAAGAAATTTAAGTATCATCCTTAATATCCCTAGAATTCTATATCATACCCTGAATATATATTCTTTTAAAATTGAAAAATATTATTTATAAAATCAGTTATGTCTTTTGCCACAAAAAAATCTCAATAAAATTTCCAAGTAATAACTATAAAGTCAACATTCCCTTATTTCAATGTATATAATAAAACATATTTTTAAAATTAATATAAAACAGAGAATTTAAAAAAATCAATCCTCTAAATAAATTTTCCTAAAAGAAAAAACTAAATTTTAAAAAATCTGCTTGAAATTAATATTGATGAAAACTTTATATGGAATACCTATAGGATTCAGCCAAAGCTCAATGTAGTAAAAAATGTGCACAGTAACTCATTTAATTAGAAAGAGATGTTGAAAATAAATGAATTATGCCCTTAAGAAGGTAGATAAAAAGCAATAAAATACATTGGATGAATTTAGGTGGATGATATTAAGGTGGATTTTAAAAGTAAAACGCCTCAAAAAAGTTAATGTGTAGTCTACTTGTTTATTTTCATTTTTGTTGCCTGTCCTTTTGATGTCATACCATAAAATCATTGCCAAGATCAATGTCATGAAGCTTTTCCCCTACATTTTCTTCAAGAAGTGTTACATTTTCAGGTTTTAAATATTTAATCCATTTTGAGTTGATTTTTGCATATCATGTAAAATAAGGGTCCAATTTCATTCTTTTACATGCGAATACCCATTTTTCCCCAAACCATTTGTTGACGAGACTACCCTTCCCTCCTTGTGTATTCTTGGTGCTCCTGTCAAAGATCAAGTGACCATGGATTTACTTCTTGATTCTCTATTCTGTTCTATTGGTCTATAAATCTGTTTTTAATGCCAGTACCATACTGTTTTGATTACTGTAGCTTGATAATATATTTTGAAATCAGGAACTAGGATACC